CGTCACTGGCCTTCCGGCCTCGGCCTTCTTCATTGGATGTCTTACCGGAGGCCTTCTCCTCGCCACGCTTGCCGATTCCTCTCTCGGCAGAAAGACAATGCTCCTCCTCTCCTGCCTCGTCATGGCTCTCTCCGCTCTATTCACCGCCTTCTTCTCCCCCAACATCTGGATTTATTCCGCCCTTAGATTCATCGGAGGGTTAGGCCGCGCCACCATCGGGACGTGCGCTCTAGTCCTCTCGACGGAGCTCGTCGGGAGGAGGTTGCGGGGCCAGGTCGGCGTCATGGGGTTCGTGCTCTTCACTCTAGGGTTTCTGTCCTTACCAGCCATGGCTTATGCAAATAGAGGCTCTTCATGGAGAAATCTTTACATTTGGACTTCTATCCCTGCAATCTTCTACTCTTTGGCGGTTCATTTCTTAGTTTGTGAGTCTCCGAGATGGCTTTTCGTCCGAGGACGCAAAGAAGAAGCCGTGAAAAGCATGGCACAAATCAGCAACGACCAAAATATTATTATGAGCTTCCCAAGCAATATGGCTTTCGAACAAGAGACTTGGAACGTGGATCTTTACTCGGCAATCAAGATCTTGGTAGAGAGAAAATGGGCTTTTCGGAGATTATCCACGGTAATGGCAATCGGTTTCGGGATCGGAATGGTGTATTACGGAATGCCATTAGCTCTGGGAGACTTGGATTTCAATCTCTACTTGAGTGTTGTTTTCAACGCCTTATCTGAACTCCCTTCTTCCTTTGTAACTTTCTTTCTTGTGGAGAAAGTTAACAGGAAAAGCTCGCTTCTATTCTTCACTAGTCTAAGCGGAATTTGCAGCGTAATGTCCGTGTTGAGAGGAAAGTTGATATTTACAAGGCTACAGATTGGATTTGAGCTATTGTCGTTTTTCAGCGCTTGTACGGCTGCCGAAATGCTTATGATCTTCACAATCGAGTTGTTCCCCACTTGCGTTCGGAACTCAGCGGTGGCGATGTTGAGGCAAGCGCTGGTGTTTGGAGGAGTATTCAGCCCGGTTCTTGCAGCCGCCGGGAGAAGGTCAGATGGTTTTGTGTCGTATGTTGTGTTTGGGATAGTAATAGGGTGTTTTGGTTTGTTTGTCGTTTGTTTACCGGAGACAAGAGGGACAGCAATTTGTGATACTATGGATGAAGAAGAGAATAAAGACAAAATTAACGCTAGTCGTATTAGTGATCGTGGGATTCTAACAACTTGATCTTTGTTAGCTTCAATTTGAGGCTAAAAAAAGTTATCGCTTGTCATATAACGTGTGGAATATGAGGAGGAATCTAATGCACGTAAGATCACCGCTAAAGATTTTATATAAATTGAGATATTTAGATGAGAAGGAATCTTTTTTTCATGGGAATTTAAAATCCTTATTCAAATATGCATTGGGTAGGCCCATTCATCGCGGCTGATCAAGTAGATGAGCCAACAAATATTCCTACTCAACTCACCCAAGTTGGTGACATTTTGGGCTCATGATGCATGGCTGTATGTATTTGGAATATTTAATTGTAGGCCATTATATATTTGTTTTTAGGACGTCTTATATGCTTGCTTGCTTACTTTTTGGTATTAGATGCTACAAGTAAATGTTTTTATTTGGATGTTAACTCAAGGTTATGTAATGAGGATGTTGTTGTGTTTAATAAATTTTTGTGTGGATTACAGTTCCATTTCCATTTAAATTCCAGTATATTTCTGTTGAATTTCATGTTACCACTTGGAAGCAGGTTCGTTGCCAAAAAAAAAAAAAAAAGATTTGCAGAACGAATAAGATTTGTTATAGAAAAAAAATAAAAGAGTGAGAAATCAAAGAATTTGTCTTCATAACAAAAATCGAAAAAGGGTTATAAGTATTGTAAGTTCTTGAGTTATGAGCATTTCTCATTTTGGTATCTCAAACTTTAATTTTGGAAAATTGGTATCTAAATTTTTTTATTTTTAACTATTTTTGACATGAAATATACCACAGGTTTGGGGACCCTATTTGCAAGTAATTTAAATAAAAAAAAGCGCATTTTAAGTTTTTTTTTTTTTATTTTTTATTTTTTTTTATTTTTTATTTTTTTCTAAAATTGTGGTTATTACTTTTATCAATTTAAATGAGTAAGTTATCCTTATCTTGAGAGTAGATGAACGGATAGTGTTTAAAAATATTTATCCAAAATTTATAATATATATTGTATATACACACGTGTATCATGTATGTGTGTGTGTGGGGGTGGGGGAGAGGTGGCACAAAATTATAGTCACTGGTCGCTTTCGATGGCACGCAGCTATTTTGCCCACCGGTAGTGCATGATTTAAAATGCTGCGGTAAGTGGACAAGAAGACGACAATTTAATATCACAATCCTTCCTTATAATTAAAATAGTGAATACACTAAACCAGTCCGCATGTAGACTTAGAATCTGTGGTCCTTTAAACCAATTAGCAATAACATGTTCCATCATGTGTTATGTATACCGCTACATATAGCCTTACCAAATTTGATAATTAGACGGCCAATGTCAACTAAAAAAACAAATCACTGTCTGTTTTTTACTAAATTAGGCCAAACAATATTACTACTTATCTCTTTCACGGAAAATGATATCTATATATAGCTAACAAATTATGTTTTATGACAGAATTCTTAATTGCATAATATCAACTTAATTTCTCATGTAGTACGTGCATTAATGTATATAATCAAGTTTTTTCATTTTTATTTTCTATTTACTGTAAAATCAAGCTTTCTTGATTATATTTCAACCATCTATGACGATGTGTGCTTAGATCAGAGACACTTGGAAACAATGTGGTATAGCAAATTCGTTAAGGAACTGTCGATGAGCTAAAACCAAAGAAGCTTAGGATATAAAAGTTATAGATAACGTCATTGAAAATTTTTTTATTTTCCCCTAATATTCGACTTGTTATTCAAATTTTACTAATCACTTGCTTAGGCCCTATAATAAAACATTGCATGCGATATGCATGTCAGTTCCAACTCATACCACATGCTATATAAACGATTCTATTTTCTTACTAATCTTTTTTAAGTTATCACTTTCAATGTCAAAGCTGTTTTAAGGAGCACAAAGATCTCCTTGTCGACCACATGAGATTTTAAGAGGCAAGAGTAAAAATTGTCATGTGTCAACATACACATTCATTTTACAACACTACTTCTACGCTTATTATTGGCTTCTATGTATGGTTCAATCATGAAAAGTTTCTCTTCAAACATTTTAGCGAGGACACGTAGAGCAAAGTTTCCGGATCAAAAATTGTTTGCTTCAAGAAATACTTTTACCGACGAAATCTGATTTTATTTTTTCTCTAGTCGGTAAACCCTTATTTCTAGTATCGTCTATTCTCTTCCACAAATATATATATCGTCTTTCTTCCAAATAAATAAATAAATATATATATATATATATATATTCAGTAATAATATAGACAAGATTTGGATCACAAAGTAGTACAACAATAATCCTATGTCGTTCGACACCACACACAAAGAGTTAAGTAATGGCTTAAGTAAGGACTCCTTATCAGTAAAGGAATATTTCAGGCTGCGCTCCAGCGCTGGGACTGCCCTTGTTAATTATTACTATATGCATGTAGTCACAATAAAGGAAATAAAAATCTTAAATGACATTTCGTCGCATTTACAACTGAACAAAATCACCCTCCGTCCTTCACTAAAGGCAAACAGTATACCATAAAAGGCCAAACAATGTTACTATATATCTCTTTCATATAAAGTAGTGATATTTAGCTACCAAATTATGTTTTTTGTCGCAGAATTCTTGGTTGCATAACATCAACTTAATTTTTTGTAGAGTACTGTAATATATAATGAAGTGTTTTCCTTTATATTTTCCATTTATTATACAATTAAGCTTTCTTAATTATATTTCAACCATAGATGATAACAATGTGCATAGATCAGAGGCATTTGGAAACAATAATTTGTTAAGGAACTGTGATGAGCTAGAATCAAAAGAAGGCTAGGGTATAAAAGTTAGAATAACGTCTTCGAAGCTTTGTTTCTGTAACTCTCTTTCTAAGATGAGTCATTAGGTGGATAGACAAGTGTCTACCACTTGTCAGTAAATTAAGAAGGGAATCTTTGTGCGACTTATCGGTAAAAAAATAGGAGTTCTAAAAATATATAAATACTGGACAAAACTCTACAGAGAAAAGCAAGAAAAAAAGAGAAGGAAAAGAGAGAACAAAACCCAAAAACATTCCTTAAAAAAAAAAAAAAAATCAAAAAAGGTTGTCGTCACATTAAATGGCAGCTTGATCTTGGATTCCAACAACTGCTTATTTGGTCAGAGGATCATTTTAAACAGTATTTTCTCTTAAAAAATTAAAATTTTAAAAAGTTGCATTACAGTAATTCTTTTTTCACAAAATTTGAATTCTAATTCAAACGGCCACCTAATTTGAACCTGTGATCGTGGATATGCTAATAGCTAGCAATCACGTGTGGATTCTAACAACTTGACCTTTGTAGCTTTAATTTGAGGCTAAAAAAAGTTATCTCTTGTCATATGATAATGTCGTGAGTGGAATATGAGGAGGAATATATAATGCACGTAAGATCAAAGCCCTTAGATTTTATATACATTGAGATATTTAGAGGAGAAAATATCTTTTTTCGTGGGAATTCAAAATCCTTATCCAAATATGGATTGGGTAAACCCATTCAAGGCTGCTGAAGTAGAAGAGCCAACCATTCCTACTCAACTCACCCAAGTTGGTGACATTTTGGGCTTATGATGGCTGTATATTTGGCATATTTCTTGGCCACTATATTGTTTTGAGGACGTCTTATATATGCTTCCTTGATTACTTTTGATTTTAGATGCTGCAAATAAATGTTATTATTTGGATGTAACTCAAGGTTATGTAATGAATATGTTGCTATTGTGTGGATTACAGTTCTATTTCCATTTCAAAACGATTATATTTCTGTTGAGTTTTTTTACCACCGCAACAAAAAAGAATAAACTAAGCTTTATCTTCTCTTTGACATGGACGACTCAGCCCCTTTTCTCTCCGAACCTCCACAGCTCGAGAAACACATTCCTTCCCTCGATTCAACGATCGAAAAATGCATCGGAGACTTCAGCTGGTTCCAATTCCTCCAAGCCATGCTCGTCTCCTTCGCTTGGTTCTTTGACGCTCAACAAACTTTCATCTCTGTCTTCACTGACGCCGAGCCCAAATCATGGCACTGTAAAACTACTACTGAGTCTTGTAACTCTTCGGATTCCGATATCTGCCTAATGCCGAGGGACTCATGGGACTGGGATTCTCCAAAGCAGACATCAACCATTTCTGATTTTTCCCTCGAGTGCTCCGGCTCACTCGTCACTGGCCTTCCGGCCTCGGCCTTCTTCATTGGATGTCTTACCGGAGGCCTTCTCCTCGCCACGCTTGCCGATTCCTCTCTCGGCAGAAAGACAATGCTCCTCCTCTCCTGCCTCGTCATGGCTCTCTCCGCTCTATTCACCGCCTTCTTCTCCCCCAACATCTGGATTTATTCCGCCCTTAGATTCATCGGAGGGTTAGGCCGCGCCACCATCGGGACGTGCGCTCTAGTCCTCTCGACGGAGCTCGTCGGGAGGAGGTTGCGGGGCCAGGTCGGCGTCATGGGGTTCGTGCTCTTCACTCTAGGGTTTCTGTCCTTACCAGCCATGGCTTATGCAAATAGAGGCTCTTCATGGAGAAATCTTTACATTTGGACTTCTATCCCTGCAATCTTCTACTCTTTGGCGGTTCATTTCTTAGTTTGTGAGTCTCCGAGATGGCTTTTCGTCCGAGGACGCAAAGAAGAAGCCGTGAAAAGCATGGCACAAATCAGCAACGACCAAAATATTATTATGAGCTTCCCAAGCAATATGGCTTTCGAACAAGAGACTTGGAACGTGGATCTTTACTCGGCAATCAAGATCTTGGTAGAGAGAAAATGGGCTTTTCGGAGATTATCCACGGTAATGGCAATCGGTTTCGGGATCGGAATGGTGTATTACGGAATGCCATTAGCTCTGGGAGACTTGGATTTCAATCTCTACTTGAGTGTTGTTTTCAACGCCTTATCTGAACTCCCTTCTTCCTTTGTAACTTTCTTTCTTGTGGAGAAAGTTAACAGGAAAAGCTCGCTTCTATTCTTCACTAGTCTAAGCGGAATTTGCAGCGTAATGTCCGTGTTGAGAGGAAAGTTGATATTTACAAGGCTACAGATTGGATTTGAGCTATTGTCGTTTTTCAGCGCTTGTACGGCTGCCGAAATGCTTATGATCTTCACAATCGAGTTTTTCCCCACTTGCGTTCGGAACTCAGCGGTGGCGATGTTGAGGCAAGCGCTGGTGTTTGGAGGAGTATTCAGCCCGGTTCTTGCAGCCGCCGGGAGAAGGTCAGATGGTTTTGTGTCGTATGTTGTGTTTGGGATAGTAATAGGGTGTTTTGGTTTGTTTGTCGTTTGTTTACCGGAGACAAGAGGGACAGCAATTTGTGATACTATGGATGAAGAAGAGAATAAAGACAAAATTAACGCTAGTCGTATTAGTGATCGTGGGATTCTAACAACTTGATCTTTGTTAGCTTCAATTTGAGGCTAAAAAAAGTTATCGCTTGTCATATAACGTGTGGAATATGAGGAGGAATCTAATGCACGTAAGATCACCGCTAAAGATTTTATATAAATTGAGATATTTAGATGAGAAGGAATCTTTTTTTCATGGGAATTTAAAATCCTTATTCAAATATGCATTGGGTAGGCCCATTCATCGCGGCTGATCAAGTAGATGAGCCAACAAATATTCCTACTCAACTCACCCAAGTTGGTGACATTTTGGGCTCATGATGCATGGCTGTATGTATTTGGAATATTTAATTGTAGGCCATTATATATTTGTTTTTAGGACGTCTTATATGCTTGCTTGCTTACTTTTTGGTATTAGATGCTACAAGTAAATGTTTTTATTTGGATGTTAACTCAAGGTTATGTAATGAGGATGTTGTTGTGTTTAATAAATTTTTGTGTGGATTACAGTTCCATTTCCATTTAAATTCCAGTATATTTCTGTTGAATTTCATGTTACCACTTGGAAGCAGGTTCGTTGCCAAAAAAAAAAAAAAAAGATTTGCAGAACGAATAAGATTTGTTATAGAAAAAAAATAAAAGAGTGAGAAATCAAAGAATTTGTCTTCATAACAAAAATCGAAAAAGGGTTATAAGTATTGTAAGTTCTTGAGTTATGAGCATTTCTCATTTTGGTATCTCAAACTTTAATTTTGGAAAATTGGTATCTAAATTTTTTTATTTTTAACTATTTTTGACATGAAATATACCACAGGTTTGGGGACCCTATTTGCAAGTAATTTAAATAAAAAAAAGCGCATTTTAAGTTTTTTTTTTTTTATTTTTTATTTTTTTTTATTTTTTATTTTTTTCTAAAATTGTGGTTATTACTTTTATCAATTTAAATGAGTAAGTTATCCTTATCTTGAGAGTAGATGAACGGATAGTGTTTAAAAATATTTATCCAAAATTTATAATATATATTGTATATACACACGTGTATCATGTATGTGTGTGTGTGGGGGTGGGGGAGAGGTGGCACAAAATTATAGTCACTGGTCGCTTTCGATGGCACGCAGCTATTTTGCCCACCGGTAGTGCATGATTTAAAATGCTGCGGTAAGTGGACAAGAAGACGACAATTTAATATCACAATCCTTCCTTATAATTAAAATAGTGAATACACTAAACCAGTCCGCATGTAGACTTAGAATCTGTGGTCCTTTAAACCAATTAGCAATAACATGTTCCATCATGTGTTATGTATACCGCTACATATAGCCTTACCAAATTTGATAATTAGACGGCCAATGTCAACTAAAAAAACAAATCACTGTCTGTTTTTTACTAAATTAGGCCAAACAATATTACTACTTATCTCTTTCACGGAAAATGATATCTATATATAGCTAACAAATTATGTTTTATGACAGAATTCTTAATTGCATAATATCAACTTAATTTCTCATGTAGTACGTGCATTAATGTATATAATCAAGTTTTTTCATTTTTATTTTCTATTTACTGTAAAATCAAGCTTTCTTGATTATATTTCAACCATCTATGACGATGTGTGCTTAGATCAGAGACACTTGGAAACAATGTGGTATAGCAAATTCGTTAAGGAACTGTCGATGAGCTAAAACCAAAGAAGCTTAGGATATAAAAGTTATAGATAACGTCATTGAAAATTTTTTTATTTTCCCCTAATATTCGACTTGTTATTCAAATTTTACTAATCACTTGCTTAGGCCCTATAATAAAACATTGCATGCGATATGCATGTCAGTTCCAACTCATACCACATGCTATATAAACGATTCTATTTTCTTACTAATCTTTTTTAAGTTATCACTTTCAATGTCAAAGCTGTTTTAAGGAGCACAAAGATCTCCTTGTCGACCACATGAGATTTTAAGAGGCAAGAGTAAAAATTGTCATGTGTCAACATACACATTCATTTTACAACACTACTTCTACGCTTATTATTGGCTTCTATGTATGGTTCAATCATGAAAAGTTTCTCTTCAAACATTTTAGCGAGGACACGTAGAGCAAAGTTTCCGGATCAAAAATTGTTTGCTTCAAGAAATACTTTTACCGACGAAATCTGATTTTATTTTTTCTCTAGTCGGTAAACCCTTATTTCTAGTATCGTCTATTCTCTTCCACAAATATATATATCGTCTTTCTTCCAAATAAATAAATAAATATATATATATATATATATATTCAGTAATAATATAGACAAGATTTGGATCACAAAGTAGTACAACAATAATCCTATGTCGTTCGACACCACACACAAAGAGTTAAGTAATGGCTTAAGTAAGGACTCCTTATCAGTAAAGGAATATTTCAGGCTGCGCTCCAGCGCTGGGACTGCCCTCGTTAATTATTACTATATGCATGTAGTCACAATAAAGGAAATAAAAATCTTAAATGACATTTCGTCGCATTTAATATTTGCGATGACTTGTTGTCGCAAATATATAAATATTTATGACAACATGTCGTCGTTAAACTCGGGAATAGTATTTGTGACGACATGTCTTCGCCAAAATTTATTGGCGCCAACATGATTGAAGCCAAATTGTCTATTAATTGTGACGACATGTTGTTGCTAATAGTTAGGGTTACAGTTGGCTGTGACATGGCAAAAAAAAAAAAAGAAAAATTTGGCGATTACCAGAAAATTAGTTCCATAAAATTCTTCATTTTTTGCGACGTCATGTGTGAACTCGTCGCAAATTGGAGTTCCAGAAAATTCCTCCGTCCACGAGTAATTTTTGAGACGACAAGTATGAATTGTCGTCGCAAATATTGATCGAACTTAATTTCTCAAGAAAAAAAGGCGGAAAATTTTAGTGGTTTCCCGAAAAATATTTGCGACGACTATATTAATTGCGACGACATGTTGTTGCTAATAGTTAGGGTTACAGTTGGCAGTGACATGGCAAAAAAAAATGAAAAATTTGGCGGTTACCCGAAAATTAGTTCCACAAAATTCTTCATTTTTTGCGACGACATGTGTGAACTCGTCGCAAATAAGAGTTCCAGAAAATTCCTCCATCCACGAGTAATTTTTGAGATGACAAGTATGAATTGTTGTCGCAAATATTGATCGAACTTAATTTCTCAAGAAAAAAAGGCAGAAAATTTTAGCAGTTTCCCGAAAAATATTTGCGACGACTATATTAAAAAGTCATCACAAATAAGGAATATTGGTATATTCCCCAAGAATATGCTCATAAATATTAATGAGGCTAAGAAGAACGACGTCGTTTTGATATTAATTGTGATGACTTTTTTTCATTTTTTGCGACGATAATATGTCGTCGCAAAACGCTACCTGTATAACCGCGATTGCATAACTCTTTCCTCCATTTTTTCTTGTGACCCTCTCAGTTTTCTCCCTCCCTCTCCGTCTAAAACCTCTAGAAACCATCACAAAACTCTGAAAAAGCTAAAATCTATCATTCTCTCTTCAAATCTTTCATTTGTGGAGAAATTTTTTTTGAAAATGCCCAAAAGTAGCAGTGTTTTCACCTCGCTGTCGCCGCCCACTTTTCCGACCGCCGTCGCCCTCCCAACACTGTTACCTTACCATTTTCGAACCCCCGGTATTTGTGGGTTTAGATTTTGTGTGTTAATATTTTTGGTATTTTGTAAATTAATTTTTTATTTTGTTTTAGATTTTGAATTTGGTTTGTAGTTTTGGATGTATTTAGATGTTGTTGGTAGATTGTGAATATGGTAAATTAGAATTAGAATTGAATGGGGTGGAATTGTGAATGTGGTAGATTGTAAATTAGAATTGAATGTGGTAGATTGTAAATTAGAATTGGAATTGAATGTGGTAGAATTGAAATTTGTATGATAATTTTGGTGTGATGATGATTATGTTGTTGGTAAAAAAATTTAGAAAAAAATGTTAAGAAGTTAAAAGAAAAGTAAAAAATAGTGATGTGTTTAATAATTAAATAATAAATAATAAAAAATAAATGAAGTTGAAAATTAAATGTAAAAAATGTAAATAAAGTAATTATTTATTGTATTATAACAATTTGAGAAAATGTTATAAATGAAAGAAAAAAATATGTTAACAAACTTAATTAATGAAAAAAGTTTTAATTATTATTATATTAATAATTAAAAATTTTAAAAATAACTATTATAAAATAGTTAATAGAATGTTAAAGTCTTATTACAAAATAATTTGTATTAATTTTCATAAAATTTGATAAAACTTCATAAATTCTTCATAGTGGAGATGCCTATGGAAAAGAGTTGGATATATTTAAGGAACCGGTTGTCTAATGAGTACTGGGATGGTTTGTGTGCTTTTATTGAGATTGGAAAGAATTATGCAAATTCAACCGGGGGCATTAGTTGTTCGTGTATCAAGTGTAAAAATCATGAGATGCTACAACTAGAAATAGTAAAAGCGCACATATATCGATGGAGTTTTGATACAAGTTACACCATATCGATTCACCATGGTGAAGTACGTGCTGCTACAGTTGTCAGTGAACTGGTTAACGAGATGTTTGCAGTGCTAAATGATGTGGTTGAGATTAATGATGATCATGAAACCTTGGGTGAGACAGAAGTGGTTATAAAAGATACGCACTACGATGAATTTAGGGATATCTTATCCCAGCTCCAAGTCAGATTGTATCGAGGGGATGCAGGACTTGATGGCTCAAATGCACCCTAACATTCAGTTCCTATCGGTTACTCCTCCCGTGCCGTATGTCCGTCCAGGTGCTCCGCCTCCGAATCCTTCCAATGATAACGATGATGATTCTAGTAACGCTACTAACTTAGGAGAGTAGATTTTTATTAATGTAATAATTTATACTTTCATACATTTTATAATTACATTCTATTATATATTTTTATTTTATTAATACTCGTACAATTTAATTTTATTTATATTTTTATATCACTTATATTTCTTTTAATTAATTCTTTTTTATTATTATAATATTATGAATTATATTTAAT